CGCTGACATCATCACCCATAATGATACTGTTACTGTGAGTCTGTTTCTTATTTTTAAAAACAGAAATGTCCTGTGGGGATAAAGACAGAACACACACACGAATAAAAATGTATATATATATATATATATATATACATACATTAGATGAAATAAACCAACTTCAACCCCGTCCCAGGTGGCGGCCTCGGGAGACTCGGGTCCCAGCATAAGGATAAAGAGGCACCAGTACGACCACGACCGCCAGTTCTACATCGCGCAGCTGGATCAGCAACTAGAGAAGAACAAGAAGTACGTGCTGTCCATGGAGTTCCTGGGTTACCTCAACGACCAGCTCCGCGGATTCTACAGGTCCACTTATAAGGACGAAGATGGAAGCGATAAGTAAGTTACTCTCAAGTCGAGACATTATGAAAATCCTTAGAATCAATTCCTTATCTTCGAGGCAAGGAAAATACGTACGAGACACATTCCTCAGTCTTTTCACTCATCCCCCTCGACAGGATGCTGGCCGTGACCCAGTTCCAGGCCACGGACGCGCGCCGGGCCTTCCCCTGCTTCGACGAGCCCGAGATGAAGGCGACGTTCGAAGTGTCCTTGGCCAGGGAGGAGAATATGTCGTCCATCTCGAATATGCCGATCAAGGAGACTCTGCCAGTGTAAGCAGATTTAGACCTGGGATAATCTTGGTAATCTTTCTCCTAGTTGAATATTTCTTTGGCATTTAGACTAACATTTCTTTCTTTCCTCAGTCAAAACCAGGAGGGATGGGTATGGGACCATTACCATAGAAGTGTTCCAATGTCTACTTACCTGGTTGCTTTCGTGGTGTCCGACTTTGCCAACCTAAAGTCTCGAGCTAATGAGAACACCTTCTTCCGAGGTAAGTCTCTGGAGGAAGTTCTGCGTTTCTTATGGTTATTCATCAGTGATTGTGTCAGAAAAGATCACACACACACATACAAGCACACAACACACATACACACACACACACACACACACAGACACACACACACAAGCACACACAACACACACTCAACACAAACAACACACAAACACAAACACACACACACAAGCAAAAACGCACACACACCCAAAAACACCACGCACTTCCTCCCAACCACGCATGAGCCCTCCTCTCCCGACAGTGTGGGCGAGAGAGTCGGCGATCCAGCAGGCCGAGTACGCGGGCCAGGTGGGTCCCATGATCCTGAACCACTTCGAAAAGTACTTCAGCATGCCCTACCCGCTGCCCAAACAGGACATGATCGCCATCCCGGACTTCTCGGCGGGAGCGATGGAGAACTGGGGCCTCATTACCTACAGGTGGGATTGCTGCTGCGGTTGTGGTTGATGGGTTTCTCTTTGATTTGTCTTCTTATTGTTATTGTATTTATATGTTGTGGTTGTTGGGATAAGTGGAAGACGATGGGAAAAACGAGAAAAAATCAAGACTATTTACAACAAAATAAAAAAACATGAAAAAATCGTCAGATTTTTATGAAAGAAAAATAAAAAAAAAAAACACACGAACAGATACAAAACCAAAAGAACTCACAACTACTGCAACACACTTTTTATCATCATTTTATGCGCACAACAGAGAAACGGCGATGCTTTACGACCCCGTGGTGTCAGCGGCTTCCAACAAGCAGTATGTGGTGGCCGTTGTGGCGCACGAGTTGGCGCATCAGTGGTTTGGCAACATCGTCACGCCGAGCTGGTGGACTGACCTCTGGCTCAATGAGGGCTTTGCTTCCTACGTCGAGTACATAGGCATCAACCATGTAAGTGTAGTCATATCCATAACCTGCAAGGCTCTGAAGCAGAATCTAAAATTCACAAACACACACAACCACACAACACTCACACACACACATATATATTTGTATGTATATATGTATGTATTGTGCATTGCATTTTATTGATGAAAATTTTGCATCCTTAGATGATTTTCTTGCCTGTTCCGTAAGAGTGATTTCCCAACCCGCCAGCGTGGCTCCCCGCCCATAGACGCAAGGGCGCCCCCGATCCACAAAGCGCTAAAGAGCTTCCCGCCTTTCCAGGTCGAGCCCAAGTGGCAGGTGATGGAGCAGTTCGTGCTGCGGGAGGTGCAGGAGGTCTTCGGGCTGGACTGCCTCGAGTCCTCGCACCCGATCAGCATCCCCGTCGGGCATCCGGACGAAATTGGACAAATATTCGACAGGATTTCTTACGGCAAAGGTGGGCGGGTTATATTTACGGCAATGCAAAGGCTGTGTTGTATTTGCATAACTATACAGACATCGCAAATGAATCTACGTATTCTGTATTCAGCATTTATCCGATTGGCTTGTGAAGAAATATATATATACATCTTAATTGCAGGTGCATCTATAATCCGCATGATGAACCACTTCCTCACTGAGGTCACCTTCAGAAGAGGCCTAAGGAACTATCTCGATGCTTTGTGAGTATTCCTTGAATAGAATAACCAAAAATACACACAAAAGAGAGAGAAAAGTTTTTGGAAGCCAGGTTTTAGTGTTCCTCACGCGCACGCTCATTCCTTGCAGTAAGTACAGCACGGCGGAACAGGACGACTTGTGGGAATACCTGACCGCCGTCGCGCACCAGGACGGAACGCTGCCTCGAGGTCTGACGGTGAAGATGATCATGGACACGTGGACGCTGCAGATGGGCTACCCCGTCGTGAAGGTGACGCGGGGCCCCGACGGCACCTCGGCAGTTGTATCGCAGGTGAGGTTATAGTCTCGGTTATAGTTTCTGTTCTTACGATATTTCTTGGAGATGCTTTTAGAGTTTTAGTTAAATGTATATAACCCTTGTGATACATGCTACCGAGAATTAAATTTCCATCTTCTGTATAAACCTTATTTCAGGAACGTTTTCTCTTGGTGAGAAGCGAAAACTCCAGCGACACCCACGACTACAAGTGGTGGGTTCCCCTGACGTACACGACCCAGAGCGAGGCCAACTTCAACCAGACTCAGGCCATGGTGTGGATGAAGGACTCCGAGGCACAGATCAGCCTCTCGTCCCTTCCCCCGAGGGACCAGTGGGTCATCTTCAACCTGCAGGAGACGGGCTACTACAGGGTCAACTACGACGACCACAACTGGGGCCTCCTCATCCAGCAGCTGAGGAACGACCACGAGGTCATCAGCACCATCAACAGAGCGCAGATCATCGACGACGCCATGAATCTTGCCAAAGCTGGTAAGTTTGCACAGCTTATCATAACTGACGCTAATAATATTGGATATAATACTTTAAAGATTATTTGAATTTCCTTCTGTAGGAAAATCCGTCGCATGTATACACCTAGCAACAAATAAGGCATGCATGTGTATTGCTGATACATTATATTACAAATTGCTCCTCCTTTCAGGTCAGATTACGTACGAAACCGCTCTAAGCGTGTATACTTACCTGTCGAAGGAGACGGAGTATGTGCCCTTGGCTGCTGCCATCAACAACCTTGGCTACCTGAGGAGCATGTTCGTGCGGGCAGGTGGCTATGGCTCGCTCAGGGTAAGTTGGCGGCAGTATTGGCTTTTTTTATAGGAATGCCTTCCGTGGTGCAGGGCTATAAGTGCAGTGGTTCAATGTAAATGAGATTTTAGTGCTACGGGGAATAGCTTTAGCTTCATCTTTTGCCCAGAATCTTCAAAAGGAATGGTACAGCTCTGATAAGTCCTTGGTAAGGAAACCCAACAACCCTTTTGTAGAACCAGGCAACGATACCTTTAACGATGCTTATGAAGGCCAAACTATCAACAAAACCCCGCCCCTCCCAGAGCTACCTGCTGGACATCCTGGTGCCGCTCTACGAGTCCGTGGGCTTCGAGGACAGCCCCGACGACCCTCTGCTGGACCAGTACAAGCGGACGAAGGCGCTCTCGTGGGCTTGCCTCTTGGGCCACCAGCACTGCCTGGACAGCGCCTCCGCCCTCTACCGCACCTGGATGGCCAACCCGACCAACGACAGGTAAGGCACAGTTTCTATGTGGTGAGATACTCGGAATAGATGAAATAATAATATGTATTATATATATGAATATATATGGGTGTGTGTATATACCCATGTATATATATATAGGTATATATATTATATATATATATATATATATATATATATAATATATATATATATGTATATATATATATATATATATATATATATATATATATATATATATATATATGCATATATATGTATATACATACACAATATATGTACACACACACACACACACATCCATCCATTCATCCACACACACACTGTCATACGTCGTATCAAAACATGTAAATAACGAAAAGAACTTGAATTCCAGCATCATTTCCCCGAACCTCAAGTCGACGGTTTACTGCCGCGCCATCGCAGAGGGTGGTGAAGCCGAGTGGAACTTTGCTTGGCATAAATATCTCAAGTCTTCTGTCTGGGGTCCTTTCCCTCCTGCCCTCTCTCTCTCACTCTCTCTTCCTTTCCCTTCCACCCCACTCTCTCTCTCTCTTTTCTCTCTCTTTCCTCCCCCCTCTCTTTCCTCCTTTTCTCTTCTCTCTCTCTGGTGGTTATTGCCGATTTGAAAAAAATCTACGTCATGCTTTATGGATATCTTTGTCTTTCTGTCTTTTTATGAATTTAAAATGATTTTGAGTTTTCCACGTTTTATTGCACACATTCTTGTTGCAGACACAAAAAAGCTTGGCTAATGCTTTTAATAAGATATCTGTGTATTATCTATTCCTTATCTAAAATCAGAAAAAGAATTACGTCCCTAAATATTTCCTGAGGATTTTTTTCCGTTTTTCTTTGAATCTTTGCTCGTTACGCCGATTTAAAAAAATAACACACCCTGACTTAATAATACAATATTGTCATCTTCAATCACTCGTAAAAAAATGAAACCAGAACTGAACATAAAACATAAATTACATCTACCCATTCATCCACATACTATCTTTTTAGCTATTACCTATCTTGTATCTCCATATCTTTTTAGCTATTACCTATCTTATATATTATACCTCCATCTCTTTACCCAAATAAATGTCTCTAAAACAGGTACTTAGAGATGGCCTTCACTCCCGACTCTGGCATCCGGAAACAAGACGCTTACCGCGTGTTCGGAGCCGTCGCCAAGAACGTGGTGGGTCGCCCGCTCGCCTGGAACTACCTTCAGAATGAGTGGGACAAAATATACGACTTGTGAGTATGATTCGATCTGGGTTCAGCGGTTAGGTGTATTTGGGAAGATACTCGAGAGTATATATTTGTGAAGAGACTTGTAAGTATTATTCGTTCTGGGTTCAACAATTAGGTGTATTTGTGAAGATACTCTCGAGTGATAATTCCTATAAATTCTATTCATTCTATTCTATTCATATAATTCCTATTCTAAATGTTGGCTTGCGGAATGGATGAAAGGCAAGTGCAGGTACGCTATACGTTCGTTGAAAATAATATAAAATGTGCAGAGGAGTCGTGTTTCATATGCGTGCTTCCATATCGCTGGTTCTGATGATTTCGGAATATTTATGATGTGATATGAAATTTCATTTGCAAGCATATATACATATATTGTATTTATGTATATATATATATATATATATATATATATATATATATATATATATATATGTATATGTATATGTATATATATATACTTATACACACACACGCACACATACACACAAGCATACACACACCCACACACATGTATATGTGTGTATATGTATATATATATAATATATATATATGTATATATATATATATATATATATATATATATATATATATATATATATATATATATATATATACATATACATACACACATGTATATACACATCTGTATATGTATGTATATATATTTATGTATATAAATATGTAATTATATTATGTATACACATATATACACACACACATGTATACATATATATATATATATATATATAATATATATATATATATATATATATATATATATATATATATATATATATATATATATATATATATGTTAATGAGGATATTACATTTTAATGAGGATATATTTGTCAACACGAATACGGTTCAACCAACGTTATTAAGCCATGAATACATATTCAGGAAAACCGAATCATTTATATTCTTAATCATAAATCATAAATCATCTATCACAAATACAAAATCCAATTCTTTTCTCCCCGCAGTTACGGGAAGGCGAAACCCCACTTCATAAAGTACGCCACTGGAGGCTTCAACACGGAGCAGCACTTGAAAGAGGTGGGGTGTATTTCCTTTTTTTTTTTTTTTTTTTTTTTTTTGTATTATTTTTATTTGTTGTTGCTTCGTTGCTTCGTTTTGTGGAAAGAGGTGGGGTGTATTTCCTTTTTTTTTTTTTTATTATTTTTATTTGTTGCTGTTTCGTTGCTTCGTTGTGTGGTTTATGTCTTGGAGTTAGTTGTATTTTATTGTAATTTGAGTATTATTGTAGAATTGTTTTTTGTTGTTGGATATATGTGTCAGGACTAATGGTTCATTCGTGATGATACGAAATAGCAGTTTTATCCATGTTATTGTGATATTTTATAATGTTTTGATATCATAATCATTATATCAAACTTTCGAGTACCATGCGCTGACATAAACCATATGCAAAATGAGTTTACTGAAAGATCACCCTCCTCGTAGTCTAAAAATCTCATCCGGACACTGGTAAGAATTCCATTTACCATCCTTCAAGCGAGCCCAGATGGCCTCACCGGCGTCTCCCTCCCGCAGGTGGAGCACTTCCGAAAGGAGCACGAGCACCACCTGGGCTCCGCGTCGCGCACGGTCGAGCAGGTGATCGAGCGGACGAAGAACAACATCGCCTGGATGAAGACCAACTATGACGTCATCGTGAAGTGGCTGGACGCGAACGGGTATTCGACGAAGCTCAGCACGGCATAGGCTGAAAGGCATATCTTATTTTAATACTAATTCAAGACTGTTAACATCGCCAGGAAGTGTGTATCGGATCTATGTGTACTTAATAGACTGATCTGCAAGTCTCTGCTTCCATTAATCGGCGGAATATCATCAATTGGAAGATAAACAGTAATGCATTTATGTTTAGTTTTGTCCTCCCTGTATATAGAACCGTTTTTTTTAACCATTGTTACCCCTACCAAGTTTTCTCTCACAATGCTTATAGTACCTACTGGACTCATATATTTTTAATATGAACATTAAGTAAAGTTTCATCATGAGTGAATCAGTCTGTTTTGAACTTGGGTATTTAAAGGTTTGACAATCGTAGGAAATGAATGGCAATGTAATGTACTTAACAAATTACTTAATGTCGAATTAAAAAAAAAGTGTTGAGCAGTCAGCAAGACGAGTGTGTTGTGGTTTTGGCGACAGTGTATTAGCACTTCAAACTCATGCTAAAACACCGATACTTTTTTATAATTTTCATTCCATAAGTCTTTGTGACTCTCTATGTGAGCTTTTGGTGAAAAAGATTCGTTGCA